AACGAAAGGGTTAAGCGTGCTGCCTTGAAATCGCCTGCCAAAACTAAAATGGCGCGTGTCACGTGACTTTGTTTACTAAAGATAGCGTGGGCGTTTGATTGACACTCAACTCATTAGTATTCCACCAATCACAGCTACATCTACTTTCTGGATGTGCGCAGTCAAATTGTATAGGAGACAAGCTGGAGTCTCGTGTGGCGATAGCGATAACACCGGGACGAATGGTCTGGGGTACGCCGCGTCGTGTTCGACATGAAACTCATAGCGACGTATACAATGCGTGTTAAATACATTGTTTATTTACATGAAATTCGAACACGCGCTGCGCGACGACCACCGCGCATTAATTCCTTTATCCCCCCCCCCCCCACAACCCCACTGAAACTTAATTGATAAATATTGATCATGCCGTCAGACTACATTCACCATTAAATACAAATTGATAATCGGAAAGTAGTGTGGCATAGCAGTTGGTTGTCGGTGGATGTAAAAAGACTTTTCTGGGTTCTGCGCATGCTCTATTTCCATGCCCTGAAATTTACCTCATTTGACGCACATATTTACACCTCGGACCAAACCATTTTCTCGTCTTGGATGTTTTTTTTTTTTTTTTTATTTTATTTTATTTTTGTCCATGATTGGATAGAAAAAAAAATGAACTACAAATACTCCAAGATTTTCTTGACTTCATTAAAAAATAATAATCGTTTTTTGTAGGATGGATTTTTTTTTAGGTCAAAACCCCTCACCCCCAAACTAAGGGATTGGTCAGTTACTTCGGCCTAGGGGGGGTCGGTGGATCAGTAGGGGGTTACCCTGTTTTTGATTGTGCGAATAGGGGGGTCACCCTGTTTTTGATATCATGTTTTACAGAGTTCACACACGCTCATGCATATATTTTTTAAAATTTTATTTCAGAACAAACGATAAAAAAGTTAATCGTACAAATGTGTTCTTAATAATAACTATTACCTATATTGCCTATAAATTTGTTGATGCAAAAAATGTTATAGGCTAAATATTTTGAGGTTA